CAACTAATTATAAAACGTTTTTAGACCAACGGGATTGTGGTAATATTTATATTTTATGTTTTTCAATTTCATAATCGTAGAGTTTATCGCTCTATTGTCTATTATATAGCATTGCTGCATTATTTGTAAATTTTTCGTTATCGTGTTGTAAACAAGTGGATACGACAAATCGTCGTCGTCGATCGTAAAATAAGTTAATTATATAACATGGGTTGACGATTGTGTGTTTATCTGTACCTAATCACAATAAAAAAAAACCCAATCATTAGTCAATGCAATCGCGAACGAACTCATAGTGTGGCATGTTCTATAGTATTATAGTAACGAACGTGTTCAGTGTTATTTTTTTTTAGTGCAGACGAAGTTCACACTTTTCTTATTTGTATGAATATTTGATTTTTTAAATTTTTATTTGTAACATTTTTAATAAAACTATAGTAAAATGAGTTACGGTCGATCACGTTTAAGTGGCTATAAGTATAAAAAAATCGCGGAAGAAAAAAAATATCAATTAAATAACTTAGTGCAAAAAATCCCAAAAATAGATTCTTTTTTTAAACCAACCTTTTTTTTAAATGAAGTTGTAAATTATGAATCTACACAGAAAACGCTCGCTAGTTGTTCAAACTCGGGTACTAGTACTACGGAAAATATATATATTAAAAGGCGGCAATTTATTTTGTGCGGCACAATGGTTAAATCCGATACTGAATGAGCCAATACTCGATATCGCCATATCGGTGGTATCGGATTTATCGGAATAGGTTTTTTTTTTTTTTTGAAACCGATACAAAAAACCAAATCAATCAGCATAATAGCAATATTGAATATAGCATTGATTATAAATATATAATCAATGAAAAATTACAGACAATTTGTAGTATCGGTTACCTTTTAATATCGGTACATGGCTTATGTCGAAAATGTTGGTTTTAAAATATATCGGTTATTTGTTTTTATCGGTAACATATTGACATATAAAGTGCCGGATCTAAGTCTCAGGGGGCCGGGGTGCAACTACCAATGGAGGCCCCTTAAAAAAAAAAATTTCTCGACTTTACAATTATCTATTTATTTGATACGTTTTGTCGTATTGATATATTAAACAAACTAAAAAACACAAAATTTAAATTCCATAATTTAATAGGTAAATAAAATTATGAAATTATACATTCACTCACTGTTCTCATATCTATTATACCACGCTTAGATATTATGATGTATTAATCATTAATGTATGCTTCTATGCTAGTATAATATAAATTAAGAATAAATATCATTAATATGATATTGGCTGTATATTCTCTATATTGTCCTAAAATGAAAGGACCCAAATATGAATCAGGTACCTCAGTTACCTGAATTGTATACAAAATTATTCATCAATCCTTTATATTTTTTTAATTCATTGTTTTGAACATTTTTCTCCATCTTTTAGATGAAACACTTTCAAATTGTCTGTTAGACGTGTTTTTTTTTCAAAAGTCAATAAAAGATAGTGTAGGTAGGTACCTAATTTGTATTTTTAATAATCAAATGAAAAATCAATATAATAGAGTAGGTACTCAAAAATAAAACTGACAAAAGTACAAAATAACATATCTGAAACCAATAACACTGCATCAAGGCGAAGGCATGTCCGTAAATCATAATCCATTTATATTAAACAATAAATACATATAACCACGGTTACATTATTAGTTTGTCCAGCAAGATACTGCACTAGCGCGAGTTCACGAGCCTCTGAGATTAAATATATAGTACGATTATACGAAAATAGTATACGATGCATAAGTACTATATAATATAATTAATGAGTATACAAATAAATAAGTAAAACAAACAATAACGCAATGATAAATAGTATTACTTATCTAAAATTCAAACCGTCCAAAATAAATGGTTGTCACTTGTCAGTAACATCTTAAAATAATAAAATTTGTTCATTTTATAATAAAAAGTTATAGAAGGTTAGAAAATTTAGGACTTTAACCTTAGGCCCCTAATACAACCTTGGTCTTGAGGCCCCGGTGCAATGCACCCCCTGCACCCCCGCTAAATCCGGCACTGGACATATACCGGAATATTGGATATCGGGAAAAAGTGGTATCGGCCCATCCCCACGTTAGTAATGAATTACAACCATCGAACCTTTACTATAGACTATAATAGAAGTATAGAACGGTGTTCTACCATAAAGATACTTAGATAACATTTTAGGTAGGTGGTAAATTTGAAACTAGATCATAACTCTCAATTATACATTTTTTTATAGACTCATTGAGTCACAAATTATATACTGAGTACTGGCTAGAAAACTAAGTCGAAATGATGAAAAACGGTCCGCCGGCCATATTTTAAAGAATATTTTGTTATATATTTATAATACTTCTAGCTGATTCCGTGAACTTCATTTCCCGTTCAATGTACCGACTCTATAGGATTTAACCTTAGTTCAATTCGTTATTTAATATTCGGTGTATGGTGTTCAAACATTTTAAATGTTCATTGAATCCCAAAACACTTGTGCCAGCACCACTTTAGAAAATTTGAATTTTGGAAGATGCTTTATTAGTGCATAGGTTATTAGGCTTTATTAGTGCATGGTGATACGAAGGTACCATGAAAATGTCAATCCTTTTGCTTTTTGAATAATAATATAATAACTAAAATCATTACCTATGTGGAATCACACATTATCAAGCTTAAATATATGAAAGTCGAAATTTGCAAATGTTAACAATAACAAGAAGGACAACCTATTTAGAAAATAACTTTTGCAACTAGAAATTTATAATATAACTAAAAAATGTTTGTATACAGACATACAGTATACAAGCATTTAACACTTCCATTATTATCAATTATGACATACTCAATGTCTAGGTAGGTACACTCAAAGAGTGTGATGCCCGGCTTATATTTAGTTTTATGAATCTTATTATTTTAATAACATGCAAATAATAATATAGGTACTAAAATATGCAACTTTTTTTGAGTATTGATATATAATCATACATTTATTGTATTCTAATATAGTCACAAACAACTTATAGGTAGTAAAAAAGGTAAATCAACTTAAAGTGATAGTAAGACAATAAGGTATAGGTATGGGTAGGTTTAATTAGAATATGGAAATTACTATATTAGGTAGTATCAAACAAAAAAATGTTAATACATTTAATTTTTACAGAGTTTTAGAGTAAGTAAATCACGTTAAAAAATATACTAAGTCGCAACTTGAGGTTGCCCATCTATTTCAATTATTTGAAGTAGTGATGGTCCTGATGCCGATTTATCCTTAAACTGAGGTATCTACACTAAAACTAAGATACACCTATATAGTGTACTATACTAAAATATTCTTATGATATTTTTTATTAATATAGTAAATAGTTTAAATTAATTAATTGAAAATAAATTTCAATAACTAATATTTTTTTAAACTAAATACTTATGTAATTATATGATAGTATACATTTTTGAAAATTAAGACTTTAATCATTTAAGTTAATTTGTACCAGGTGCCTATACATAAAAATTATTTTTACAAATTTAACTTGAGTCTTGAATGACTATTGAATATTATCAAATGTATTTTAAGTATAAATTTATTATATAAAAAGAAATTATTTAAAATAAAAATTTATGATTATACTGACATGGTTTGTAAATTTACAAATTTAAACGCTAGCTTCACATAATGATTATTTTTATGAATTGCATATACAGTGAAACCTGTCTTAAAGGACACCTATTTATAACAGACACCACGCTCCAATGGACATGATGATATTATTATGACAAAAAGATAGGTATTCAAAAGGCAAAATCCCCTGTCTATAATGGATACTTTTGATGGTCCCGTGATTATCCATTATATACAGGTTTCATTGTAACATCAAAATTTCATAAAAACTATCCATCTAATACAGTGGTTCTAAACATTTCATTTTTTTATTAGAGTACATTTAACGGAACATTATAGTTATATAGTATAAAATACTTTGTAGTGGGAAATTTGTATTTTTAATAATTATACTATAGGTGTGCAAACAATTAAATATGATCACGGCACACATACAGTCAGTTTGCAGCAAACTTATGTGTCGAAGAACACTAGAAGAGAACCACTGATTCAATAAGTACCTACTTGAAACATAAAATATTTGTGATGGAATAGTTGAATACAATACTATAGTGAATACAGTAAATAACTAAGATGTATATTATAAATTATAATACAACAAAACTGTTATTAGCATACACTTTTAACATACTATTAATGAAATTTAACATTTTTTATTATAGGTATATTATACAAACCTGTTCATTGTCCCATTTTCTTTTCAAAGAAATAAACAATAATAATAATAATAGTTATTTTATGATAGTAATTTTCCAAATACAAACAATTCATATTAATAATGACTAGATTATTTGTTTCAAATTTAATAAAACTGAATATAAAAATGATTATAAAAAATAAAATAAAAATACTTATTATAATGAGAAAAATAATGTTTAAAGATAGATGACACATTTAAAAATCTGTTTAAAAACTTGAGAAACTCATACGCTTCTATGTACAATAGAAAATAGAAATCTTTATAATAGAATACAAGCACAATTGTTTTTTCATTCATATTATATGTTTGTGTATCTACAAATAAATACAAAAAAGTTTGATTAAATTAAACTATAATACATGAAGTAATTGATGAAAAGATACCATAACAATCACAAAACTTTTAAATTATAGGCTTAATGATTTAGAGCATACTAGGTATGGTGTCTAGTGTACACTAATTGATTTGAAGACTTGGTTGAGGGTTGTCAGTTGTTTTGTAAATTTTGTTGCAATGAGAACATTTTTGCAATATTATTTATCATGAAATCTGATGTAGGTGTATTATTTTAAAATTATATTTATTATTATTATTTACATATTTTAGACATTCATTTTAGGTTATACTTAACAGGAATAATAAGTAAAAACTTTATTTTATAGTTGTATATTGTCGCATTTCTACAGTGCTAAAATTTCCAAGAAGAAAATCTTTTGTAGAAATAGGTGAATGTATTTTAATTAGTCTAATATGACAATTATTCCCATTTTGATGATTTTTTAAAACTGCTATTTGTAATAAATGGGTTTTTAATGATAAATTATGGATATCTTTGATCTTTATTCGTATCCAACTATATGGTTCAAGCAGTTCAACTAACTCAACCTCTTGTAAATCATTAAAATTTGTACCTGCACGAATTGATATGATATTCGGTGTATAGCTTTCATCAAGTCTATGGTTAACATATATGTATATATCACTCACAATAGTTTTACGTCTAAACTGAATATTAACTAAATGAGGAAGTTGTCCGCATGACTGCCAGTATGTTTCTATATTGTCATCTCTTAATTGATTCACACCAAAACCTAAACAAAAATATAATATGTAATTATTTTGATTTTCAATGTAGTTAATTTAATATTAAATTTATTAATATATAAATACGTTATTAGTATCAAGGTGAGTGAGACACACTCTTTGTTATTATTTTAAGAACTATTGATTTAAATATTATTCAATTCCTCTGGGGCTATTTAAACAAAGATAAAATGTTTTATTTTTGACCAATGAAGCTTTAGGGGACATAGATGATTATCCATTAAGAGTTATAGGATTTGGGTGGGCTAGTGATAGATTGGAATTTTTCATAATGAGTACATAGAGTGTAGGGATTTTGGGGTTGTTATAAAAGGTAAGAAAAAAGGCACACACACCAAGCAAGTTTTGGTGAATAAACATAAGTCGACTGGAACTTGGAAGGATTGAAACATGATTTAGTCGATTCACAAATTTGGATGACATACCTAAGTCATTGAAGGACAAATCAGTTGTTTGTAGTTAATAATTGTATTATTGAGTAAGATTTTTGAGCAAATAAGGTATTTTATTACAATAAAGTTTTAATTTTAGGAATATTTTTTTTCGTTTTGATGTGGGTACCCCAAGTTGGGCATTTCTTGAGACTAATGCCTATAGATTTAAGATTTAACTAAGTTCACAATGAGAATCATTTTATTATAATATATTATTAAAACACCTATCACATGTACCTATGCATGTTTGTGATATATTTACTTAAATTGTTTAATGCTTAACTGTTTAAGTATCATACTTGATACAAAATTCATTGATAAATAAATCTTGCAGGTATTGTATTATCGTATGGGTTGAATTTTAGAAGTGATTCGAGCATTATTAAATATTTCACCTTTCCTAAGGAATGACAATTGTCAAGGTACACCACGGCAAGATATAACATACCTAACAATTATAATATAAAAGATAGTGTTATTTACCGGATTTGCACGAAGACACAGACCATGTCGCTAACGACCCCACCTCACGTACCAGCCCGGCACGTATATCTCGCATCGGGTCGATCGTCTCGAGGCAGAGCGACCCAATATCGTTTGAAGTAGACATTTTTATCGAACCCTTACTGTTTAGTGTGAACCAAAAACAAATAGTAGCATCTCGAGTAAACGAAACCAACAAAATAAACAGTAGGTGTAGGTTTATAGACAATAGTCAATGATAATTAATAATATTATTAGAAGAAGTCAACAATAACAAATTAATAAAATATGTTGAATAACCTACCTAAATTTAATATTGTAGATACAAAATACGAATGTAATATTATAATATTGTATATTTCAATATTGATTGTACATTTTCTTATCGTCGTAAAGGCGTAAACAGCTGCTGTCGCTGTGGTTACGACCACGGACTAAGATATACAGGACTGGACACGAGATGAATATTGTGGTTACGAAATGTTTTACAACAGGCGGAGTTCGGGGGGATATTTTCCTTTTAGCATTACTAGCGCCGTCTTAGTGGATACTTATGGAACTAGAAATTTGTATGATGTGTTCTAGTTCCATAAGTATCCACTAGGACGGCTCTAGTAATGCTAAAAGGAAAATATCCCCCCGAACACTGCCTGTTGTAAAACATTTCGTAGTCAACCCCCCCACACCCTCCAACCTTGTCGTGTCCAGTCCTGTATATCTTAGTCCGTGGTTACGACTAAAGTTTATAGATAATGAGAAAATTCTATAGCGGGAAACTTTGAAATTTGTAAGCCTATGGTAGGTACGGTGTGTATATTAACCATGGTATATATTTCGAGGCATAATAGGAAACAGTTCTAATTTTAAATAAAATAAATACAGGGAGTTTTGATTAATAAATTCAAGTCCAAATCATAGAAAAGTAAGTAGGTAACGTTAAGTATTGATATTTCAATATTTGATTATAACAATAATAACTAGAAGGCCCCGGAGACTCGCCTGAAAAAGTGGAAAGCGGAAAAAGTATAAACAAATTATAGTAAGTAGGTATAGGTAGCACAGAATAGATTAAATTAAATTAAATTTGATCTGTTCTGTGTAGATAGTAAAGATTTTATTGGTTATTGGAACTGAACAAACAAAACGCTGGATCATGGCATTAAATTTCATTGAATGACACAAAATTCTCTGTTATAAAACGTATCACTCTTGGGGCGTGAGGTCGAAATCGTGGTTCACTCATGTAGTTTCGTGATTCACGTCTTGTGTAAACGCAGCTTAAGAATAAATGTTGCTTAAGCTAATTTTTATAATTTAAAAATATGATATTAACTTAAAGCAAAGGTAGGACGTATTCCGAGTTAATCCAGGTATGGAAGACTGGAAGAGGAACCACGTTAGCATTACTTCTCTTCCTACCCAGGGGCGTAATTATGGGGGGGGATATGGGGGATAGATCCCCCCATGAGCTGTATTTATATACTGTCTTATACCTACAAATAGTTCAAATAAAAACTTATAAATTATAACGAAACTAAAAAAAAAAAAAGTTTAGAAGTTGTGTATACTTAAATATTACCAGTATATAAATATTTAGCCGTTAACGATAAGCATGATTTCAAAATAAATGGTCTGATTCATTTTAATTCTTATTTATTAATAAACATTGGGTGCCTTGCCACACACTGTACCTAATTTTGAATAGATTATAGATGGTAAGTAATCCGATAATGGGAAAAACCACCATTCCATAAACATAATATAATAATAAAAATGTAACTAAGATTTACATTTCGTAGAACGAATAATAGCCATGGATAGTACGTACCTACTAAGAACGCGCGCCGACACAAAGTATCTACATTGATTATTGCGATTACGTATAAACAGTAAACACTACACAGTAGGTATACACACCGTATCATTCTCTCATATTCACAGTGTCACTGTGTCAACTGTCAGTTACATTTTTATAAGCTAAAAGCAAAATGGAGCAAAAAAAAAGAAAATTACCAGCAACTAGTAGTACTTTATTGAATTTTTTTAAAAAGAAGCCTGGGCCTGACGTGAGTATTACAATTTAAAATAGTAAACATTATTAGACCCGGAATTAAATGTTTAAATATTATGTATGACGTATTCAACTTATTATAATTAGCATTATAACTCGCGCTAAAATTATGCAAAATTAAATTAACACCAGTTAAAAAAAGTACCTAGGTATTAAAAATATAATTGCAGTCACTGCAGTTTATTCAATAACTATTAGTTATGTCATATTAATTATTATAAAACATGTAAATGAGTTTATTAAAATATTAAAACATTTTTGTAAATGTATAATGTTATGTAATATAGAATGATTATATTTAGTCTATTTAGATGTGTTGAGTTATTCAATTATACAAAATATAGATAAGGGGGTGTGGGCCGTGGGAGCAAAGGCCCCCACAAGTTTACCCTACAAATTTATTTTGATCCCCCCCCTATCAAACATTCTCAGTTACGCCACTGCTCCGACCCCAAGGTAGGATGTCTAGACCATAGATATATACAACTAGATAGTCGTCTTTATACTACAGTTGTTGAGTTGTGACCAATATTGAAATCGGCCGCCTTTTAAAAAGCAGGCTATGCTTACATTTATTTTACATTTATTTATATACATAATATATATTTATCTATACATATATACTATGATAATATTATTTGGTACTCGTCCAATATGCTATCTACCGCACGTTCGATGGTTTAGTATGCTATCTACCTTTACTTTGCTTATGGAATAAAATGTTTGGCACCCTTTTTTTGTACATCGATTATAAATTGTTTTCAAAATATTACCTTCCGAATCACGTTTTCGACTATTTTTCAGAACTTTTTTTAACTCGCCACCACAAATTGTTTGGTTTTTAATTTTTGTACATGTTTGGTCGATTGGTAATAAACCGCGTATGCTTAAAAAATGTTCGCACATCTCTTCATTTTGAATTATGTGTCGATATAAATATAACTCATAATTGACAAACTCATAATAATAAATATATCACAGTAAAACCACGTATAGGTATAATCGACACGACTCACAAACACACACTAAACAGGTATAATATAAAGATATACCTACTAACCTACCTAACTTACTAAGTTATAAATATAATATAATTTGGGGTTTCAATAAAAGCTTAATCATAAATCTTAATAATTGCAAAATGATAAAGTATACATAATATACAGCATACGGTCATACGGTTGATATACTAAACTATCATAAAATTACGGTAGATAAAATATTTACGGTATATGGCATATTTGACGAGTACCTATTATTTTGTAAACATTGCCTGCTTTGTAAATGACAGCCGATTTCGATGACAAGAAAGAGACGGCTGTCTAGTTGTTGTATATACCTATCTATATGGTCTAGACTAACCTTAATTTAATGAATACTTTTTCTTTTCCAAAATCTCATGAATCTCATTTGAGTCATAAGCTAGTATAGCTTAAGCAATACTGATTCTTAAGCACTGACTATGAAGTATTCATACAGCCCTTAATCCTTATATTTCAAATTGTGAACTCATGGGCCCCCACACGAACATGTTCAGTGCGGCCCATTATCTTCTTGAAGAATAAATAAAAAATAAATAAATACATTTTGTGTACAATAAATAAAAATCTACTATCTATCGTTTTATATCATCAATTATTATTTATTTACATTTTTGCAACTGTTGAGAACGTTACAATACCAAAATGATGTACAATAAACCCAAAATATGTACATAATAATGTAATTATCTATAGTATATTCCACAGAATAACTTAATTCTTAGTCAGTATATTCTGATTTCTGATACTTTAACGTCATATATTATATATATTATATCCTTGTGTCCAGTACTCCAGTTGTCTATAATATATTTCAGTTCGTAGTGGTAACATTGTAACAACAACATTTTGACCCGTGTCCGCCTGAAATGATACTTTCTGAGGGGCCAATTCATATAAGGAAAGAAAATATATAATATTATAATATAATATAAACTATTATTTTATTTTTATTTTTTGGTTAATCGTTAATGCTTATAGCTAGCCTTGGGGGATATTATTCAATTATTCACATTATTTATTTTTTGATATGATTAATCTTTTATAGCTTTATTTTAGTTACCTACGCTTTTATTTATGGTTTAAATGTTGCTGGATCTAAGATTGTCTGGTTTTCTCCCTATTGACAAATCTCAAATTGTTTCTTTATTGTTTAATATAGGAATAATATCTATAATAAAATTATTGTGACAAACAAGTAACAGGTAACAATTATATTATACAAAAAAGCTATAGGTACTTATTATACCTACCGATTATAAGTAGGTATATTAATTTATTTGAGTACTAGCTAGTAAGTATTTATTTATTTTATTAGGTACCAATTTTCCTAGTTGAACAACTGATTCCGGCTGCATACTAGTTGGCAGTAGTTGCTGTCATTAACGATTTATCAGATAGGCAGTTATACCATATATAACATATACAGGGGGTTCACGATAAATGTGTCAAACTTGTAGAGATGTTTCTACATCTTAAATGGAACAAAAACGTCCTTGTGACCATAATCGAATCATCAATAATAAGAATAGTTTCCATGTTTGTGTTTTTTTGTTAAACTCAAGTTTGATTCTTAATAATGTTCATATCTGCTAAACCGTAGGTAGGTACTACAAATTAATTTGAATACATTGATGAAACGCTCATAAAATTTTGATTAGGAAAACATATCTTAGAAGGTTCCCACCTGATTTTTTGGGTAAAAAGAATAAGACACATTTTTTATAACTTTAAAATGTCGAAATTTTAAAAAAACAGTTTACCAAGTTTTGTATTTATTGCTTAGAATTCATTTACGTTTTTCCCGGTTTTTCCACACATTAGGTGGAATAGCGGCCCTTCAGAAAGGTTTAACGATAAAATCGAGTACACTGTTGAAAAGCTTATAAGGGTTTGAAGTTTTTTTGAAATTTGCATCCACCTGCTTTAAAAAAAAATTGTAAGATACAACTGAAATTTTAAAGTTATAAAAAATGTGTCTTACTCTCTTTACCCAAAAAATCAGGTGGGAACCTT